AGTATTTTAGAGCAACAGTGGGACGAATTCTATCTTCGACGTTTGTCAGACAGAGTTTCGCGTTGTGGAATTTATCCCACCTGTTGTTTATCGTTTTTCGACCGGGGGAGGGACAAAGTCGCGCGTGTCACCCTCGTCTTCCATCCGAAGAAAGTACAAGCGATCCGAAAGGTAAAAGGGTATCCTCCGAGCCTGGATACACACCGTTTTTCGTCGATCGAACGTTCCATCGCGCTTGCGAATTCCGCTCGTTTCTCTGTTCGTCGACGCGTTTTGTCTCGATTCTCGGCGAGACCGTGTTTCATGCTCGCCGTTTCGTATTTTGATGCCCGTCGCGCATTATTCCCGTGGATCGAACGCGGGAAGCGTGTCGCGATACTCGCGGTAGAAATTTTGATCGTTTCCAGCGGCCGTTCGATGGAAAATATACGCCCGATTCTCTCTTTACACCGTCGATAAAAAAACGAACCGAGTCTATTGTTCGTCGTTTCGACGCAGTTTCGAAAAATGTGTGTTACGCGGCCTCGGTTCGAACTCTCTGATTATTTCGCCGCTTCGTTTCGATGATTAAAAACTGGATGTATTCAGAATTCGATTCCCCCGGAACAAATTAAACCACGAAGTGCAAATGTTCGATTTAGGAAAAAAAGAGAGATTTTTGTATACCGTTAGGGCTCTAAATAAGCAGGGGGCCACGAGCTCGAAGCCTCGAAGGCGGAGTCTTAAAGCTTTGTATTCTCAAGCTTCGCGTGCAAACTTTCAGGATCCCGCCTTTAAGATTGATCCTTAAAGCTTCGAAGAGCGAAGTTTTCTACGTCGCTGCCGGGGGAAATCGTGCTTTATCGCTCCCTCGAGCGTCCCGTCACTCTTCGCGTCGCGTAACGTCGGGTTATCGAGCGTGAAACGTTTTCGTTTCACAATTTTACCGGGGAAAACGACATCTCGATCCTCCGGGCGCGATCGACGACGGGCTCCGATCAAAAAAATGCAACCATTACTTCGCTGAGCACTCGACGATACGCGAGAGAAGCGAAAGAATAATTTTGATTCAGCTTCAGAGGGATGCTCGACAAAATATGTGGTCGTCATATTACCTAGACTCGCCCCAAAATCGACTCTGTACAAAAATGGGGTAAAAAGCACCCTGAAAGAAATGTCTACGGTCGAAGCTCGCCTCAGAATCTCTAGTCTGGCTCTTCCACGCGTTTCGTGGCTGAAAGGGTTAAACGAGGCTCCGTGAAATCGGTTTGGCAAGTCGTGGAATCGGTCGCGAATTACAGGGTGGCCTGTACGTATCGTAGGAGCTCGGTGAAAACACTTTGGTGTAAAAACAGAGTTAGTGGCGTAATCCCTTCCCCTCTTTATCCGTCGTCGACGTTTCTCCTGGCGTCGCGGGCTGGCTCTGGCTTTTCTCCCTCGTTCTTCTCGATGCAGGGTGGATGCGGGAGGGGGACGGTACACGGTACACGGAGGGTCGCAGGGACTGTAGCAGGCTGGGGGATTCAGGCTCTTCCTGTCTTAGTGGTGTGGCGTTACCATGGTAACAGACTGTAAGCCGCTTAACACCACCCCCCTACACCCTTTCCACTCGCTGAGGGAATCCTTGTGCTTCCGACGTCGAGTCAAACCCGCCCCCGCGTGGGTGAATCTCGCTTTCTCTTTGCTCTGTTCCCTGGCCCCCCGCGCCCCGCTCCCTTCGCCACCTCGTCTGCGTTCAAGAGCAACGTCCACGCTAGTTTTTTCCGCTCCTAACGAGGGGTCAAACGTCCCTCCGCCAGGAATCGTCGAACCAACCCCTCCAGCTACGTCGACTTTCGGGATATTACGAACGGGAACGCGATTGTTAACCGTTTCGATGGGATCTTCGTGCGAATTCTTCGCTCTATGCACGCGTGGACTGTCTTTTTGATTGGAAATAAACAGAAACGCACCGAAACTGTACCAAAATGGCGTGAGTGAAAGCAATAATATCGAGGAAGAATTACTAGGATCGTCATGCACCATTCTAATGAATTCTCTGACTCTACGCACACGTGTGCTATCTTTCTGATCGGGAATGAGCATAAAGACACTATGCAGATTGTCTGGAAGCTGTACCAAAATGGCATCGAAGGGGTAAAGAAGAGCGAAAAACCAATAACGTCGAGGAAGAATGCTCGCGATATTAAAAGCAACGCGGTAAAATATGCCTCCCGCTGCGATTCGTTTCGAGTTTCGATCATCCTGGGCCTCCCTCGCCCCCGCTTGTTTGTTCCACGGGGCGGGAAAGGGGCCTGGAGGACCGTGGGGTGAAAAGAAAGGTTATTAAGACGACGACGGGAATACGAGTGAAAAGAAATCGCGTTCCGAAGTCGAACGTTTTCTCGCGGGTTGGGGGAAGAGGGGGAGAAACGAGACACGGGGGGATGGGGAGGCAGAGTCGCGTGTCCGTCGAGAGGAGACGACGGTGTGTGCGGCGCGATGCTGACGAGGAATTGAATGGAGGGTGAAAACCGTCCTCTGGTATCCTCCTCCGTCCTTGTTTTCTCGTTTTAACTGGATGGGAGAGTACAAGAGAGAGGAGAGAGAGAGGACCGTTTGCTCCCGATGTCTTCGTCGATCACCGTCCCGGACAAAGGACCACCCGGATGCCGACGTGTCCTGGCCTCGTCCTTGATTTATATAAAAAAAGAAAAGTGGAAGAGGAAGCGGATCGAGGGGGAAAAAAGGGGGCCAGAAGAAGAATGGATTCGCGATCCGATGTCGTCTCGATAGAGATCGAATCGCGCCCAGCGCCGCGAAAAGCCCGCCCCGGAGATCAAAGAAACCTCCGAGGAGGAATTTTGTTCCTTTTAAGGACCCTTCCGGTCTCCATTAATCACTATCTTTAGCCGCCACGGTATCTGCGTTCTTTCCTCGGTAATCGGTGGATTGTATCTTGCATAATTGTATATATCGTTCTTGGATCCAACGACTTGCAGTAGTGTCTCGTTGTATGGCGAAAAATTGGGTCCTTTTACACGTTCACTGTCCGTGATCCGTATATGGGTCATATCACCACGCTATTAGATACGTCGCTGAGAGATCGGACAGTGAACGTGTGTTAATCCTTTAATTCTTGCACCAATTTGGAATTTCTAAATTAATTTAAATAAAAAATATATTTGTTGCACACTCTGCAACCCTTTTCAATGCATGTTGCAAATTAATTAAGCAGTCGTCGATAGGTGAACAAAAAAAAATTGAAGAGTGCAATAATCGTTCCGTCGAAGGCGGAGTTGGAAAAAAATTTTATTTTAATAAGCCTGCCAACCTTGAGATCGCAAAAACGAACGGGTGAAGAACGCCTCGCGAGGCGTCTGAACGATTAGGCGGGGGACTTTGGTTCGCGTAATTACGAGGGAAATGGTATACGCAGAAACGGCGCGCGACCATGTTGAAAAATATCGACGGGAGCAATTTGTAATTACCCCGTGCCGTGCAGAGTTATTGCCTTATTGTCGGGTTGTCACGTTCCCGCGCGACGGATTAAAAACTGCAATTTATGTTACGTCCGCGATCGTAGAAAATAATTAATGTCTGTCGGCGCTCGAACGATACGCTATTATCGCGCGGACTAATGCTTCCCCACACCCTCCCCACCCACCTCGTGGTTATCGTAATCGCGGCAGCGAATTATGCATTCCGTTTCAGAAAAACCGAGATCAAAGAGGTCGACGGTTACATTCATCCGACTATGTATCGACTTTATTTTAATAGGAAGACCCCGCCACGTTTAAATCCGGCCAGACAACGCGGGTATTAAAATATCGTTGCAAAGAAAGGGTGGATGCACGGTTACAGACTCGCTAAAACCGAATTAATTGCAACCCCCCTTCGTTGTCGCGTTTTGTTTCGAAAAATTCTATCGTAAACCCCCGCGTGTACCAATTACACCCCTAAGACCATCGATAGATACCGACAAAGGGGGTGTAAATTAATAGATCACGATGTTAACACGTTTACATGTATTAGGATGTGACTTTGGATCTTATACAGAGTTCGAGACTGTACCTAGTTGTTATAAGATTGTTTGGAAGCCAGAGTAGATAACAGATACGTAACTTCCGGGTTAAAAAAGTTTATTTGATCGATCGCGATTGGATCATCGTAATTATAACAGCAAGGACGCCTAACTATCGACAAGTGTAACACTCGCGAAAGGTCAAAATCTACGTTCGCTGAGAGAATCGATTCAGATCGATGGATAATTTATCGACACGTTATTTGCATTCTGCACGTTTTTTCTGCCCATCGACTGCACGGCGTAACGCGTTATTAAACAATTATGCGCGGGTTTCGTGGCTGTTCCTCGCACGATATGCAGGAATAATTAATTCCCATCCGACAACTTTTTCGCGTTTTTCTGTACGACGACCTCCGAGCCCCGCGGGGAAAAATATGTATCCTTGCTCGCGATAAGATACCTTTCCTGCTGCCTCGTAGATCGTTTTAACCTGCTTTAACACGTTGATTGCCAGAATAAACCCCTCAAATTGTCTGCGAAAACGATACTCTTTTTTTTGGACATTTGGAAACTAGCATATCCACAATTTGTCGTAGAACTTATTTTTACAGCCTCTTTAAAATTTAAGTATCCTATCAAGATTTATTTTCTTTAAGATCTAATCTTGAGAAACAATTTCCTCAGCTCATCAGTGTAAATTCATGTCACCCATATATGGGTGACGTGGCAGTCAATGTGTTAATCGTGTCGTTTATTGAGATAATCGAACAATATTTCTTCGACGTTAACAATAGACGCGTCTTTATAGCAAAAACATGAGAAGCCTGATCCGATCGACGCGTGTTTCTGAGAATGAAAAATGCATTTGAAAAGAATAAAAGACTCTATATTTCTATTCACGCGTACGGGTCTCACGAGAATTAGCGAGAACACGTGGTAGCATGAATGTTAAGCGATATATTCGCAAGGGTAGGCCCAGAAGGACCCGTCTCATTGATCTCTCGACCTCTTTCAGGTCTCCAGCCTGCCAGCACCAAAGCGCAACCCACCACGGCCAGCAAGTCTCACAGACCCAGTTCCGGTGTTTTACCTCAGGGTCATACCCCTGGCCCCGGTCCAGGTGCTCAGCAGAACAGCAGAAGCTTCGCCGCCGCTCTAAGGAACCTGGCTAAGCAGGCAGGCCCAGCACCTCAGGAAGAAGAGCCCCGCGCGAGTCCCAAGAATCGAGCACCGCCTCCTCTGGTCAGAGGTCCTTCCCCTGCCAGGGTGAGTAATCGCCCGACGATCCGACGACCTGTGTGTCCCCCTTTTTTCTCCCATTATCCGCTCTCGCGCGACCGACTAAACGTGTGTAGCCTGTCCACTTTTGGGGACCTAACAAAAGGTCCCTGCAACCTTTCCCTCCCGAGCAGGCCGCCACAACCACCTTTACCACCACGTAACCGTCCGATTCCCCGTACGGGACAACCGACAGAAAAATATCCTACCACTCGCGATCATGCAACTTGAAATTTGTTTAAATAATTCCCAACTGTACGAGCACGACTTATCAAAATTTAGTTGCAATTGTATCGGGTATAGATTCTTAATTTTGTAATTATGAGCTGACAGTGGTGTTTATTTTCTATTTTAACCCTTGAATATTGCAAATTTAAATTAATATTTAACACTAGATTTACGGGCATTGATTGCACGTATATTTATCGATACCTTGCAATACGATTTTTCTTTTAATTAGAATATGCATTCATGCCATTGCATCAATCAAATTCAACATAAGTTGTTAAAAAATAATATTTACAGGTTTTGCAAATTTTAAATATGGCTTGCGTGAATCTAGTGTTAATGCATGTACAATTTACCAATTTGATAAAAGTTGGCACGTTCACTGCCCGTGACCCATATACGCGTCATAGCGCCACGTTTTTGAATACACCGCTGAGAGACCAGACAGCGAACGCGTTAACGTTAAGTAAAATAATTTGGTTAAGATTGAGAGTCCAGTCGAGGATTGACGTAAACAGTTTACACGTTCTGTTGTTCACGCGTTAGCGTTATTTTCTATAATAACAGCGATATATTATGAAGATTATGGATAGTATGATGTCGAGGTTACCGAAACGCGGGAATAGAATTTATTTTCACGTGGATCGAGCCATCTATTTTGGACCGGCCTGTATAAACCTCGCCTCGATGTTACGGAGCGACCGGAGGTACGTCTTTCCTGCCAATTTCCATGGTGAGCTCATCCGAGCGGCAACTCATCGCCGGTTCGCTCCGCGACTTCGTAGCGAGACTTTGCGATAAACTGAATGCGTTTCGTAACGTTCGAACGCTAAGGGGGATGAACGTGAACCGAAACGAAGCGAATTATTACGCGAGGGGAAGCGATTCGTTGCTTGTTCGAATACACCCAAGAATCCTCATTTTCTTTTTTTGCTTGTCGAACCAGAAAGAAATTATTAAAAAATTTATTATTAGTAGAGTCCCGTTAACGTGCGTAAATTGAGTCTCAAATCTAATGAAAGTTGACCATGTGTAGTTCCCCTTCCCCTTTCTAATCCAGACCTAACCCAGATCTAACCCAGATCTATCCCAGATCTAATCCAGACCTAACCCAGACCTAACATAGACCTAACACAGATCTAACACTAACCTAACACAGACCTAACACAGACCTAACACAGATCTAACCCAGATCTAACCCAGATCTAAACCAGACCTAACCCAGATCTAAACCAGACCTAACCCAGATCTAACCCAGATCTAACCCAGACCTAACCCAGATCTAACACTAACCTAACCCAGACCTAACACAGATCTAACCCAGATCTAACCCAGACCTGACCCAGACCTAACCCAGACCCTTTCTGAGCGGTTGATGCAGGCGATTAGAAAATGGTGACGATTGATAACCACGTGGCGTTTGTATTTTAGGAACGATCCACCCACGAGAGAAGACCAGAAGAGACTCCCTCCTTGTACACGACCGCCAGGCCAGCGGACACCAGCAACCACAGCGTAACAGCCGCAGCTTCCGAATTGCTGGCGCGTTCTGGCTTTCAGCCGTACCGGCCCGAGCATCATCCGGCTCATGCTCCGCCGGCCTTTGCCTTGGACCCTGCGGCCTACAGTCACTACCACCACGGTCTCTATCCACCGCCACACCTCCAACACGCTTATAGGTAATTTCGCGACGCTAGCCATCGCGACGATAATTCCTCGTTTAATAGTTAAACAATTCAATACCACCTTGGTGAAGTCATCTTCGACCCTTTGGGCTCGGCTGTTTGCTCCTGAGAAGTCATCACAGGTCTAGCAAACACAAAGGAATCGCTTCAAAGGGATTAGACTGTTAGGGGCAAAAACAGTATGTTTCCTTGGAGCTCCACTACCTATTTTTTATGAAAATCTGTTACAGTTGCTGTGTTGTGGGTGATCAAAGAAAGGCTGTTTGTCCTTTATTAGTAGACTGCGGATCTTTATGCAAATTCACATTTTTATTAATAGAATTAATGAAACGGAAGCTTCGCAGAGGGCTGTCTCAGCCCCTAAATATAATAATTCGTATCTTACTTTAAGTGTTTCTTATAATTTTGCATATTAAATGCATTCTGTAGTTTGTTGAGGATTAAAATTTCCCATAAATGCATAAACATCCGCAGTCTATTTATTAGTTATTGGAAATGTACTTCTGAATAAGAATCTTCCCTGTCTCAACCAATCTACTGGCAGTTTGAATTGGAAAAGTCATAAATAATTGTTCGAAGCAATCCCTGATTATGTAACCCTGTCGGAAATTGTGTCATTAAACGAGGAATTATTGTATCGCGATTTTGTACTGTGATAAATACGTAGATCGATGAATTAGAAAAAATCCTTGCAGCGATGGGCGCTTGGGACCCAGTCTCTCCTCCCACCAGGCGTTTATATTATTCACCACATTATCCAATAAACAGTTATGTTGAGAGATGTCATGTGGTCTTAGGAGAATCAGATAAAAAATTACTAATGAGTCTACTAGCAGTTACTCCTGTTAACTGACTAATCAACGTCTCTGGACACGGCTCATTATCCTTGCAATATGTCTTTTTTAGTTTTAGAAAACATTACTTATTCTATAGGCGATATTTATTGAGTCGAGTCAGCCCCGACCCACATACGTGTCAGAGCGAACGCATTAAAAAGAGAAAACGATAGCCTGCAGCGCGCCATCTTTAATTATTTCTCAGGCGACTAGCTTCTCAAGGGAACAAAAAAAGTATCTGCGACCGTAGATAGATTTCATTAGCAGCAAGAAGCCCGACAAAGATCTCTATTAATCCAAAGGCGTAAATCTTTGTGCATCATTTTTATTGCTTTCAAACTACACCTATGTAGAGAGATTACAAACTTCATAGATTAAAGTCCTTATGTACAGGGTCATGTATCATAACTCAGAGTATTGATATCAACACGTTGACAGCTATAGTGATCACTTGGTGACTGGCACTTTAAGCTTACACTAATTGAAACGCTTAGATGGATCATTAATATTTCTAAACCTTTGATTAGAAGTAATGTAAACCAATAAGTACACCTTTAAACTTTCGATCATTTTGATTTGACGTACAATATGTTTAAAAACTAACGTGGCAGTCAACGTGCTAAATCGATATTTTCCAATCATGCTTAAAAAGTCTTTATAAAAATATGGAAATATCCCGATACACGATATTCGTGAAACTGCAGTAAAAGGGTATATTAATAGAGGAATAGGAGAACACGCGACACAAATGATTTTGTTGCGCCAAAAAATTGAATTTCATATAAAACGAACGAATATACGCTAAATGAACTTCAGCAGCCATGTTATTTTCATCCAAAGTGCTCGCTATAATTGAATAAAATTCGAACACAGAAACACAGAGGACATTTTTAATTCAATTGATATTATAATCTTTGATTAACATACTTTCATTTATATTTGGCTGCTTGTGGTGGGCGATAATTTCTAATATGTTCTGCTTTTCTTCATTCTTGGTTAAATTCTAGCTGAGAACCTGAATCACGAGTATCTTAGTCACACGATGTTTAGAGATTTTAACCCTTAAATAACCCTTAACCCCTTAACGTTCATGTTCGAGTCTGACTGCTTTGAAAAACGATATTTATTGAATCTAATGGTTCAAGGGATGATAACATTTATTTTCCTTCAAATTATACGTTGGATACAACATTGTAATTAACAAAAACCGCATTTTTAGAAACAAATCCAATAAAAAAAACTGATCATTCTTGGTTAACCCGAAAAATATGAGCGTTAAGGGGTTAACTAATATTGTATAATATATGTCAATATGATCATCCATTGGTTGATTATTTTTTAAATTGATAAAAATCAACATCAAGCAAGGTAATTCAGCTGAGATTGAGAGTCCACTCGAGGGTTAAATAAATTAATATTCCCGTCCCCGATCAGTGTTCGCCATTTCTGCCCGGTAGGATGTTAAATTTAATCGTGTTCTTTCGTTGATGATTGACAGATTAGAGGAACAGTTGTATTTGGAACGGTGTGGAATGCTGAGACAGCCGTTGTTTCCCGGGCTACCATCGTACCCCCTGTACGGGCTACGATATAATCCGGACATGCTACCACCGGCATCCCTCGGACTCATGTCTCCCGTGATACACGAGAGGTAAGTGAAAATAAAAAAGAAACCCCAAAGGAGATCTTCCAACGAAACGGCGAGAACGTCCGTGACGAAAATTTTCGCGCGTCCCACCCACCCCCTCCCTACCTCGTCGCGCGTCCGTTGGATCGTTTCGCGGTTTATAAACGGCGACACGAATCTCGTTTCAGACTGAAACTGGAGGAGGAGCATCGCCTAAGGCAGGCACGGGAACAAGCTGCACTGCGGGAGGGGGAGGAGAGGAGAAGAGCGGCACGAAATTCAACCCCCGCCGCCCCGGTACCAGCGCCAACACCTGCATCCGCTGATACTGCAGGTGAGCGAGTCGCTCCACCCCCCACTGCCTTTCATTAAAAAGAAAGCATCGATTACGAGCGATCGCGAGACATCTCTGTCCCGCCGCTCGTTTCTCACGCGCCGGAAAAAAATACTCGTTTCTTTTCCTCCTGCGAGCGCGGTCACGCGCCCATCGTCTCCGCTCTCGACACAACGTCCAACCGCGAACAACAAATTCCTCTCCTTCTCACTCTCTCTCTCTTTATTCCCCACAAACGGCCCCCTCATCATCGCGGTATCATCGTTTCTTCCTTCCGTCTGCCTTTGTTCGAGAACCCCCCCTCACTCCCAACCCCCTCATCGTATCGTTTCCGTTCGCCACAGTGTTCGTTTTCCATTGGAATCTTTTTATCTTGTTCTCGGTTTTAGTCCCATAATCGGTGCCAAGCGATCGAACCCTCGGCGACGAAACACGTACGTCGGGTAACACGCTCCACGTTCGAATAAATCTGTACCGCAACCGACGGAGTTCCATCCCCGTCACGGATCGAACCCCGAACACACGAGCGAAGCAAGCGAGGAGAAGTCGTTGTAAAAAAAACAAAAAAAAAAAACAAAAAAAAACACACACACACACACTATAACCTGACTGTGAATCGAAATCGACAACAAAAAAGAACATACTACGCTTCTAATTTTAATCTAGATTATAATCGAAGTTTATAGACATTGTAGTTCGTCGTTTACTATTCTTTTATTCTCATGGGAGGTATAGATCGATATTTTCTAGGTAAGCGGCAGCACCCCGGCTCTCGACGGTCGAGTTTTTACGTTTTCACGTTTGTTCCTTCTTTTCGGCTGTCGTTTCGAACTCGAAATTGAAAATACGCGCTGCTGGCCACGTTGAACGCACCCCGTTGAGAGAACCGTTCGCTTCGGTAGTCGAGAGGGTGAGAGAACAGAAACGTCGTCGTCGTGTCTGTCCTACGTTCGGTTAGGATTAATCGGAAGTGAAGATTGAAAAGAGAAAAAAGAAAAAAAAAAAAAAAGAAAGAGAGTAAGATGCAATCAATTCTCCGAGGCCCGATTTAGCTAATGATTTTTTTTTTTTGTTTACCTGTGGACCGAAGTCAGACTTATCGGCAGCTGCCAAGAACGACTAATCCTCTCTCTGTTCATGTCGGAAGAGTAAGTCGGCCTTCGGTCGGCCGTAAAAAAATCCATTTATATCGTATTCGAGGCAAACTGTGTTCCAACTGATTTTTGTAGCGTTGGAATTATACCTCTTATTCATGTACAATGACAATGTTCGTTACATAGTTAATCGTTTTGTAGTTAGTAACGTCCTTAAACGGCGAAACGTCAACATAAGAGTGCACACCTTGTATGAGAACAAAATAACAGAAACATATTTTTGTCGTTGTTACGATCGATAGTCCCGTTCAAAGGACGACGTTGCGTCGTTGTACAACAAAAAAAACTCATGTGTTTTCTATGAACTTCTTTAAGCGTCCTTGTTCTGCAAACGAATTCTTTTTTTCTCCCCCGACTACCCCTTTAAAACGAAAATTCAACTTTGTATTCCAACTGGTTTTTTCATATGCGTATGTACGATATGTTTAACGTATATATTATAATTTAAAGAAAAGAAATGATAATCGGTGGTCGTAAGTCGTTGGTAAATGTACTCCTTGTTTTCATGGACCTGTTCGATATCGTCTGATTCTTTCTCTTCTTTTTTGTGGAACAACTGATAACACCCGTGAACGTCGACGAAACATTTCGTGAACTCTGAATACGATACCGATCACGATGAAAACTTTTTGTATCCTTTTCCCCAGGCGAAGTGCACTCTTGCGTTAGCTCCCGCAACTGTTTTAGAAATTTGCAATTAAACACTGAATGTCAGAATAATTTCTCTTAATTGTAGTGAACACGTATTTCATCCGTCATTGACCGAATCCACCGATGTATATAACTTTGTCAAACATGTTCTTTTATCAAAATTATACCGTTTTTATATAATTTATTATGTAAACATGTATATTTGGACTATAATTGAAAATAAACATTGCAAAACGTGATCAAAATTCTGCTTGACTTGGAATTCTTGACCCTCGATTCATTTTCTGAAACAGTTTTGGGGAAGATTCGGTTATTTCTGTCGAAGACTGCCGGGCCTTGCGTACCGTACGTTGATTGAATATGGAAAAAAAAAAAAAAAATATGAAAATTGTTGACTGCGAGCGTCCCGATAGCTAGCGAAATTTCTTTCTTTTCCGATCTATACGTTGTCCAGTTATCGTGGAAAATTCGAATGGCAATCATCCCCAATACTTCGATGCGAATACATTAAGCTAATTCTTATAACGACGCGCTTGTGTGTGCACGGACCGCTTCAGGTAAGTTTGAAGTGAACGAACGATCTCGTTGTTACGAAAGATTGCGATGTTTTTTCTGTTTTTTTTTTTTTATCTTTCGCGCGCGCTTGAAGTGTTCTAGAGGATATTCGCGCGGAGTGGCCTGCACAGACGTTGCGTTCTAACGAGAGTTTCCTATCGAGATAGCTGTCCGAATACCAGCGACGATCGTTTCTCGCAAAAACGGTAACAGCGTTCGTGACACGCCTTAGGCTGACTCAAGAACCGATTTAACGCTTCTCCTCGCGCACGAATCTAACCGAAAGCTTGAATGCCACGCGAGGTAGTAGCTTAGAGCTAGATCACTAAGCGACGAGTGTTGCTCTAGACCAGTGTTTCTCAACAGAGTCTGGTGAACAAGATGAGACATGTTTAAACATTTTAAGAAAACCTTTCACCGTGCGTTGTGCCAGGAATTTATTCTATAAAACGTTTCTCTTCTCCTAAGAGCACCGATCGACGCGAGAGGGTTCCTTTGGCCGCAGTTTAAAGAAACACTGCTCCGGACGACTCGTTCGCCGTACCAAATAAGCTCTAAATAGCAGTAGATCAGTGGAAGATTACCAAGCACTGTGTTCGGGATTTGTTCCAGCTAGGAAGCCGACCATAGCGGTTCAGATGCATAGCGACCGGGAGCGAGAACGCGAGAACAGAGATCGGCCGAGCGGTAGCGGGAGCAGCGGTAGCAACAACACCAGCACCGCCAACAACAACGGTAACAATAGCGTCGGATCGGTCGGCAACAGTCACCATCAGTCCAGAAAGGAGGATCAGTCCTCCGGGCAGCCGCCACAGCCAACCGCGCAGCCACAATCGTCGGATCCAACAGGAACACCGAGCATCTATCATTCCCGTTTGCCAGGCTACCCGAATCCAGCTGCTCCCATCGGGCCACCGCCGTCCCTGGCCACTGCCTCTATCTGTTCCGTGAGCTCAGCCGCCATGCCGCCTCCTTTGGCTTCTACCTTGCCCCCTCTGAACCTTGGACCTCCGCCAGCCATAAGCTCAGCGCCTATCGGCCCTCCGCCTATACCTTCTATAGCCTCTATGTCATCCCTAACGCCGGCCGTAATAGGACCGCCGCCTCCACCTCCGCCCTTGAGTATGCCTCTGGCGCCTATCATTTCTATACCCTCCCTACATCTGCCTCCCGTACCCTCCACCACCATTCATTCTAGTCAGCATACAGCTACGATAATGAGCAGCGCGACAACCACCGTTACGACCTCCATATACCATCAGCAGCAACAGCAAGTGCAACAGTCGCAACCAGCGCCGCCCCCGCCGCCGTCGTCGTCGCAGCATCAGCAACGGAGCAGCAGCGCGAGCGGCACGACGACGACCAGCTCGTTGTCGAGCAACGGCACGATAACCACCCACGCGACGCACAGCCTGACCACGCCCAACGCCGTTCCCTCGACCATGAGCAGCGTCACCCACATGACCCTGACCCACAAATCGCCGCCGTTGTCCCACGGCGTCCACGCGTCCAGAAGCAAAGACGCGATCACGATACCGACGAGCACGACGGCGAACGCCTCGACCACGACCACCACGACGACCGCCGCGACGACGGTCGCGTCACAACCGGCCTTCGTCAGACCGTTCGAAGATTCCTTTCGTTCCACGTCGAAACCCCAACAGAGGCCGATCGTGAACAGCCATAATCACAGCATAACGAGTCAGCTCTCCCATCCGGAATCGCCTATAAAGTCGCCCGCGACCACCTCGAACGCGTCCCAGCCGATCGGTCAGATGATACCCGACAACTCCACCGCGGACAACACGAAGATCAGTCTTCAGCAGTCGCTCTCGCAGCCTATACCGTACCCGCCCCAGCAGTTCCATCATCCTCATATACCCGTCTCGCACGTACCTGGCCTGTACAAACCGCCCCACTTCTCCTCCACGTCACCCCATCAGCATCATTCCCAACCGAAGATCAGCGTCCCGACGTTAACGACCACCAGCGGCGGTAGCTGCGGCAACAGCGGCACGAACGTGACCAACTCGATCTGCACGAAGCAGCAGAGCTCGCATCACGCCAGCGAGACCAGCCAGCAGCAGGCGATAGCGACGTCCCAACGAAACGAGAACACAGCGTCGAGCGCGGTGAATTGCATAGCCGCGGAGAAAACGACGGTGAACGCGAGCTACAACAGCAACAGCCTGATCTCGAACGGCGGGAACAAGATAACGAATCACGCGAACGCCCATCACAAGAGCAACGCGGACACGACGACGGCCAAGGATGGGAAACCGAGCTCGTGCAACGAGAAAGTCGAGAACCACGCGAAGCAGCCAACGGCGAGTCAGAATCATTCGGGGAAGAGCACGGTGCAAGACAAGCCGTTGACCGCTCATACGACCTACGAGCAAGGGAAAGGTCCGCCCTTTCAGCCGATTGGTTTCAATCTGGCCGAGAAGGAGATCAAGACCGAGGTAGAGTCCAATCTAACGAACGATCAGAGTAACGTTTTGTCCACATTATCGTTTCAACCGAGTTTTAAGTTTAGCATAAACGACATCGCGCAAAAACCGATAGACACCACTCAGCTGATGCAGAGCATCAAGTCCGAGGAAGTATTGCGCACCTGTCAGAACGTGTCGAACGTTCTATTGCAGATACCAAAATACCAGGAGAAACTGTTGAATTTCTCGACAGAGCTGAAAACCGCCGCATTTTGTTTCACCGACAAGTGCAATAATTTGACTGAGATTTCCGTGAAGTGCGAGCCAGCGGTGTTGAACGTGCCTGACCTGAGCAAGGCTCTAGTCAAACAGGATGTCACTGGCGACAAGTCTTTTCTTGTACCTGAGAAACCGAAAGAGCTGACGTCCTCGTTAGATCTAGCCGAGAGGAGGAGGAAACGGAAACGCGAGAGGAACGCGAGCCTCGCGTGCAGTTCCGATTCCGAAGGCGACGACGATATCAAGGACATGGATCTATGGATCACCAAAGGTCCGCCGGCCAAGTTACAGTATTCAGAAAAAAAGTTGGCTTTCCTCGCCATGTTCGGCCTGACCACCTTGAGCAGGAGAAACGGTGAGAATCTGCTCTTGATTCAACTATCACATATTCCTCCATAATAAAAAAACGTAATCTGTAAATAAAAGTATCTGTTTGATTCTTTAAATGTTCCCACCCTCGACACTTTCCAACCCTCTCCAAGCATTGTTTTGTTAACGCGTTCGAGGCTGTTACAGAGATAGAGCTTTGCAAAGTGGAAAAGAGATACAGATTAAATCCCGATCCACCAGACGTACCTTTGGAACCGGAACCAGTAATCGAATCTGTATTGCCGATACCGCGTGACCATCCGGACGTGTTACTTCACGCGCCAGACTTTGAGCCGAAAGTTGGTTTCCTCAGGACCATTGGTCTCGATGTGATGCCTCCCACTAGAAGAGACGGTAAATATCTTCGATTCTGTTATATATGTTCTATGTACCCGAGATAATTAAACGACACTCTCGTTGAACTTACAGAGGCAGAGGTAACGTGGCAGTACGTGCTGCAGGATCGTAAGAAACGGAGAAGCACGAACTCCGTGACCGCGTACTGCGAGAAGATCGCCAAGATTTATTCGAGCAGTCCTCCGTCGTTACCGAAACCAACGCAAAAGATGAGGCTATTGGACAAGGTAAAAGTGAAGCATGTTCCAGAACGGCCACCGCCTCTGCCGCCTTTGGTTCCAAGCATTTTCTCCATGTGTTATCCTGCATTGCCCATGCCCGGCGAGAACGGCGTGAAACAGCACTGCAAGGTGGTGGATATTAAGATCGTGGACGAGAACGCCGACGAGAACGTCGCTGGTAGAAGGGAAAGATCTAAATGGGCCGGGATCGAGGACATCATGTTCGCGTATAGAGAATATTCCAAAGGTAAAACGTCAGCGAATGTCTCCTTGTATGCTCAAAGCATCCCAGAAGATATTGTTCCTTCGAGCCTGTATTACATTTATTGTACTATCTACAGGGTGTAAACGATAACTTTGGCAAAAATCATAGGGTAAGTAGAGGCCCCATAGGCAAGTATTTTAACACTAGATTGCCCAAGGAAGTCATTTTGACTGCTTTTTAATTTCAATTAGAAAAACAATTATGTATATAATGACACAATTTCTTAGAATTTTGTGACTATTTGCACAACATATAAATGCGTTTATTAATAATTGTAGTTACCTCCCCCCTCCTTCATTTCCGGTATATATATATATATGTGTTATACCTATATCGCCCAAAAGCAGTCATTTTGACTGCTTGGGAAATTTTAAATAATCAAATGACTCTTATTATTGAATTGAGTAAATTTCTTATATGACCAGTTCGACTCTGTATTGAAATAACAGTTTTCATTTTTTTTTCGATTACCAACACATGATAACATACAAGTACATGATAAATTGTCGATTTGGGCGTACCTAACCCAGACATAACCCAGACATAACCCAGACCTAATCTGGGTTAGGTTTGGGTCAGGTCTGGGTTAGGTCTGGGTTAGATCTGGGTTAGGTTTGATAAATTGCAATTTCTCAATAAGCTAAAGTAGTACTTGTTATTCGAATCTTTATGCAGTGATACTTGTTCTAACAAGTTGTTTATTTTATTTCTGCGCCCTAAATTCATAATATTATAACATAATATTAAAAATTAATTTTAAACAAATTTCTTTACACATTAGTTAATCTTTCACAATGCAGTCATTTTGTCTGCTTTTGGCCAATATAGGTATATACTAAGTTTCAGTCTTTCTAGTGTTAAGCATGGGAACCCGTGTCCGGAAATGCACCAGTAAAAAATTACGACGATCTTTAACTTCGGTCTTTAGCTCCTTATGGATAGAAAACCCCTCGTACTGGAAACTGTTTTTTTTTTAGGTGGGTCAGTCGTGGACAAACATTGAAAGTTTTACGATGAACAACGTAAACATTTAATGAAATCATGGTCAAGAAACAATAAAAAAACTACCCCTAGTTTGCCTACCCATCAGGCGCGAAAGACCAAAAGTTAAAGATCGCCGTAATTCTTTACTGGTGCATTTCCGGGCACGGGTTCCCATGCTCAAAATACTTGCCTATGGGACCTCTACTTACCCTATGATTTTTTCCAAAGTTATCGTTTACACCCTGTATATTACGAATAACGTAATATTGTCTGATACGTTGGAGTGTGTTTCGTTTCAGAGAAAGCATTGGAGAAGAAAATTTTGACGAGCGAGACATCAAAACTGGTGGCGCAGTCGAACAACTTGCGTTCCGAGACGATCCAACTGGAACGAAGGATATACGAACTCTTATCCGCTAGAACGGCTCTCGATTCGGAGAGGCGAGTGCTCGGTGAAAAAATTGAAAGGATTAACGCACTTGTTAGGAACCTTAGGTAGCGACGCGCAACGCACAACACGGAAACTCATTCATCTGTGATATTATCAAAGGGTTAAGGGTCGTTAGCGTACAGTACCGAGTATAAAACCTCTTACGACACTCGGGGCAAGCGAACGATCGCGTGGGAAGTTTTATTGACCAAATGTACAGCAGCCTTTTTCGTATTGTTTTGCGACTAAATATATACATGTTATACAAAACACGAAACACAATAACAGCAATTTCCGTGCGACTGTTCAAAGGGTCGCCCGGAACCATCTTTATATTTCATGAAACGAGAAACTGTTTAGGATGTTGTTGTAACGATGAAAGCCATATCAGCAGTATGAGAACACGTGTAAGATTGATTGTACAAAAACGAAATTATACTGAAATATATGTATGCACTTCTTAGTTGTCTACAGAAGTGGCTAATAAAGATTTTATAGTTTCAACTAACGGCTCTTAGACCCTGAACTATAAATAATTGTAATTTGTATCATAATATTTTAATGAGAAATAGACAAATCGTATAACTTATTTTATTCTGCGTAATGTGGACTTTAATGTCAAGACAACTTGAAACAATGATATGGCGCAATTTGTATATGAGTCGATCGTTGATATTAATCGATATAAATGAGAGGACGAGAGGATCGACGTTCACCGAATCGGTTCAGTGATGATCGAGAAAAAAAAAAAAAAAAAGTTACTCCGATATATAGACTGTGAGATTTTTCTTTTCTTTTTTCGTTTTGCATCGTGATACTCGATGGTGTATGTAAGCTCTGTGTTGACGCGAATTTCGAAGCACATTTAAAACGTACCACAGGCTGCGATTGCGATTAATCGGGGGATACAAGGAAAAAGAATCGAGACGGTAGACTTGTAACAATTATTTTTAACTTAAAGGATGTTTCGAGATAGAAATAACTCTAGTCTACGGACATTCGTAGAATACGGGAAAAAATCACTTCTGATTCCGAGAGATCAGAGCAGTGATCGATCCTTCCTTTCGATGTCCACTGTTCACGAATAGTGAACGCGAAGGCCAGTGAATGCAAGAAAGAAAAAAAAGAAAAAAAATTAATGTAACAACAGCAGTGAGGTACTTACAGTATAGGTAAAGTGACTTAATTTAAACGAAAACGTTGAAACATCGCGCGAGCACATTCCACGTGAAAATATGCTTGTTACCCGACCTCCAACATTCCAACACGTTCGAACCGTAATCGAATCGCAAAGAAACAGTAATCGAATGCGAATAAAATTCGTTTCGTTGAAGACAAAATTTTGTTTTTTTTTACATACAACTGAATCATAGCTGTACTAATTTTTGAGTATCCTTGTACTTGTATCTCACTCTGCTCTCTGAGTGCATCGTTCAATTATACGTCGTAACACCTGCAGTATGTATAATAGGAAAACCATTTATAATTTCATCGTTTTGTTCATTGAGTGCCTAACGTTATCCTACATTTGTAAATATCATTATTTTTATGTATTGTGTAACAAGAAGAGACCACAAAATATTTGTTGGTCCCGATCTGGCCAAAACAAGAGCCTAGGAGTAAATTGTTGAAAATATGAATTATTCGAGTATATTTATTCCTGCCTCCGCTACGCGTGTTTACCATAATTATTTCTGACCATTGATTACCTACAACCTCCCAACCCATTATAAAATATGTTCTATTCAAATAAAGCATATGTATGTATTACAGGGAAGAAGAAAAAATCAGCAACGAATCGAGGAGTAGATGATACAGTAAGTAAAATGCGAAGAGTTTCTTTTATTTGGTCACAAATTTTACAAAGACTGACTAAAATATTTGACATGATCACAGATGCCAGAGACACCTCATTTCACTTTCTCACACGAACGTGAGCTCGTGGAGTTTCGGAGAATCGACAAAGACAAACTGACACACGCCCTCTCTCTCTATTCCCCGAAGCTGCCCGAAGTAATTTCGGAGCATCTCGTGGGAGTCGAGAGAGAAAGGGTTACGTGTGCCTTCTCGCTCTTGAACAACTGAAATCCGAATCTCGACTAGAAAGAAACCAGAAACGATGCAGTGTTTAATAAAAAAAATAATAGTTACGTACAATTTATTTATTCAAACAAAATACAATATAGCGATAATGTTCTAATTCTTGTTGCTTTGTTTTGAGGATCAAGAAAGAATTGATTCCCGAGCATGCTGATAATTTGAGTTCAAATGACGTAAATTTCAAGATCGGATTCACGATCCTTTGTTCGAATGCATCCGATTGCACATACGCCTTTCGCGATGCAGACATTAATCGAGTGCAGTTGCACCGGAGCCTCGCGGCGAGTGCATCGCGCCGAGTAATCAGAGCGACGCGATGGTCTCTGAATCCAACGATACGCTATCGAGTGGATATTAGAATCGAGACACTCCATTAAAATGCAAAGTCCTCCCTAACGAGAATCAGCGACGGATATTAATTTGTTGCCGTATCACGAACGGGGCCCGGCCAGAAGATGGACAAATTGCGTGACGCGAAATATCGAGAAAAGGAGGAAAAAAGCGTACGAACCGCGGTTGCGACGAGATAGCAAGCGTGCAATTATACAGCCGCGGTCGAAGACGCGGAATGCGAGGTCTTGGAGGCCTTTCTTCCATAGGCATTCGTAAATTTTGCCTTCTGAGAATAGAAGATGGTCTCGCGAGCACAGATGCGCGCCAAGAGCGGAACGATGGCGGAAGAAAAACCTTTTACGAGTAAAGTTTACGGGTAACGTTGTCCAGAGGTATACGACTGTACGCTATATTTAATTCTCTAGTTTTACAGTAAAACTAGATTTCTGAAATAGAGAGGAAGCGGATAAAAATTACGAAGAATAATATTCCACCGTGTACGCGATTTTATACGAAACACAGGATGCTCACGCGAATAGATACCAGGGACACGTGCATCTGACTCAGAGGAAGATGGAACGAGCTCTTTGGAAATTACTGTGAAGATTACAGTACTCGCGCGTACCCGTCGATTTCTCGATCTTTGTGTTTCACTTAATCGACTGGTAAAACGCGAAGCATACATTCCGAACCAATCGCGTGTAATGAGAATTATGTGAATAATCAAGCGACCCAGGCTTTCTCTAAATTCTTCCTTGACCTCCTACAATGCACCTCGATCGGTCGATTAGGTTTTGAAACGCGTTTGGTCGGCTCAGAAACGCGATTATTGCCCGGAAAATGAGGCTGAAACTTCCTGCGGCGATCGAGGTTCATGAAATAATCGATGAGAAGGAGTCCTCACTTATTACTACCAGTTACTTCCTCCTTCAAATTTGCTCGTTGATGAACGACCGGCCGCTTCACTCGTCAGCTCAATGCGACGAGCGAAGCTCGCGTACGATAATCGAGGTTGCAATGATCAGAGTTCCACCACAGTTTACTTGGTATTTTGAACCTCTTATAGTATCAATTATTTTAGGAACAAACTTGCCAGTTTGTCCTATCTGCTCTAAAGCCATAACAATCTCGCCTCGCGTATCGATTTTCGTTTAAAAATCTCATAGTATGTTAACACGATATTTTAACATTCTCGTGTAGTAAGCAGCTGTTCCATCGTTAAATATTTAAAGAGCAAGATAAGTGAAAATTTGTTGCAATGTAAGCTCAGTTCCCCTTGTTTTCCAAGAAATCGCGTACGAGAATTTTTTTTTAGCTTTGCCTCGTGGAGCGCGTCGTGCTCTATTTTTACCCTGATTTGATGCACGCGTGTACGGTATTTCGAAGACAATTTCGAGCAGACTCTTCCCTAAAAATAGATTACCGGAGTAGACGGTTCGATTACGCAAAAATTGGCCCCGCAAGAGTGCAAAGATTTTAACCGAGACGCTTCCGTACACAAACGTTGGTGCACGTAAAACGGCGTCCCGTCACGTGCACGTTCCACGAGCAAACCAGAACATTTAGTAATTCAATTTGCCACATGTTTATCGGATCAACATAGATAAATATGACGTTTGATGCGCCTGCACTGCGTGCAACCGCACCGTTTTTCATACGGTGGGAGTCAACAAAGAGAACGTGACTGGTCGACGCGGAAAAAGGATGCTGCGAACGCGAACTTCGACCGTGTCCGTTACAGATGATAAGAACAGCAATAACAATGCGACGAATCGGAATTATAATCGGATCTCGCGCGAAAACTGGATGAAATACTATTTCAAGAACTACACAATAAGTACTCTGTTTTACTCCACATCGAACGTAACAAAAAACGCACGCACCTAATTTCGATCGAGGTTTAAATGGCTTCGCGAATAATCCTGTTACACTTAAATGCTATAATTCACACTCAAAGTCATCCACAACCTTTACCTCTCTAATATTGTCCGTAAAATCCAATATACAGAGATAATGCTAATGCAATAGAGGCGGAGAGAAAAGTAACGAGTGTTATAAACGCAAAATAATGCTCATGAAACTATAAAGACTATTTTATAGACCTAAATTTAACGAGATCGTCGACGTTACTTTTCACCAATTATGCAAGGGGCGAAACTGTGTCAATTTTTTTTTTTAATAATGTGTATGCAAATTTTGTATGCAAATTTCCAAAGAGGCTGTAAAAAATATTACGGGAAAGATTTACACGTTCTTCCGAAAAGTTTTATCAACGAGAAAGAAGCTAATGGGCTTCTGATTTCTAAAAATAAATTTTCAATTATTTTATAACGTCGCGAATGAATTGCTATGTTTTGGTGTTGATGATTGTCTATCGTTAGAACGAAATTTTGCTCGTCCCTGCGTAGAATCGTCGCAAGCAAAGCGTAAAATCGACGCGAAACTCTACGCGTTCCCGGCAGAAAGTAGCGAATAGGCAAAAACAGTGCAGCGCGCGATAAAACGCTGTTCGAAACGATTCCAGCGGTTTATAGCGGGCGAAATATGCGGTTTCTTTCAAGATAACTTCTGTCCACTTCTTGGAAAAACTGTGTCGTACATTCTTCGCGAAGAAATGCATTGTGAAACACCTGGCACGCTAGTTTTGTTTACTAGAATTAATAATAAACAATACTTAAAAATTAGGCTCAGAGAATAGCTTTATATTTCAATGATGCGAAGCAATCTGCTAAAAAGACCAGAGAATGATTACTATACAATGTGCAAAAACATCTGAAATCATCCTTACAATCAGTGTGTTTTAATCCAATAAAACAGGGGTCAGTGACCTGCTGCTCACGAGCTGCATACGACTCTCTTTAGCTAAATTATTGCGGCCTTAATCCGAGTCAAATTATTCAGACCATATTTCCATTAAATCCTTCACGGCTTAAATAAATGGATATTTTGAATAACAGAAATATGCGGGTGCATTTTAAAAGTTTAACTTTTATAATCGTGTATAATACATATGTACATATAGTAACAATATAATCAAACTTACTAGTCCAATGAGAAGTAGCTACATAGAATGTATCCCTACTATTTATGGCTCATACGTAGAGTCTTCAAACTCAGTTGTTACTTAGCAACCATCCCCTCCACTTGTTGACACCATTCAGTTACCGAGGTTGCAATAACCGAGGTCTACACATAACAAATTCTTACGTAAAAAATGTTTGGATCAATTCTACTTGGTTTGCATTCTATATCAATAAAAGATTCATGATCGTACATAAGCAGTACATATTTCTCGGATCGCGTCTTTGAGATATGTTTTGATAATGTAGATTTCAATATCCACCGATAATATTGCATTATCTAGTCGCGAATCTTTGCAACTCTGTTGTTATTTGCAATTTTATTTGTCAGATGTCTCGTACGATTTTATATTATCGCTGATTAATTTTGACATAATTATCATTTCCTGTGTTTAATCTTATATCTGATAAATGTCAACGTTTTAAAGAACAACATTTCTTACCATTTCATTACGGTTCCTAGACAGCTTGTAAATTAATGGTCTGTGTTACTGTTATAAGTAAATTACATTCGCCACAACTTGAATTTTTAAGCTCTACTCGGTCTCAGGTTAGGTTAGTATCAACATATGACTAACGCCGTTCCTTTGTTCCTCATTTTCGATTCAATACATTCGCTCTCATTCCTTCTTTTCGCTCAGTTCTGAATTTCTTAGTGCATAAATTTCTTCTGACGCGGTAACGAGTCATCGATACAAAGTAGACGACTAAATTCCATTCGTATATGAGTAAGAAAAAACGTGAGGAACAAGTTTCAGTGGCGAGTCACCGTACATATGAAAACTCAGAGAGACAGGCATTTGCGTCAGAACCGAGGCTAAACTTCGTCTTCATTCGCAAGTGCACTAGCCCTCGACCACGATCCTTTATAACATCTATCCGTCTCTCTCTTTGCACTCGTGGCAAGTCGAACAACGTGTCGTCGGTGCTAGCGAACCCGATCAGTACACTTGCACCGAACATCGAGTTTCGTGCTAGTGTATCGACCCGCAGCATGTGGTAACTCATTCTCCTTTCTCCTTTGCCGTTTCCCCTCCATTTTCCTTCTACCACTACGTTTCACGCTCCGCCATTCCTTGTCTCGGTCTCACCAACGCGTTCGGTTCGTTTCTCCTTTCCGTCATTCACCCCTTCCACGTCTCGCGGACCAGCGGAACAACGACGCCACCGCGGTCGAAATTCACGTGGACGGTCGCGGGAATCTCGACCCTACGACAACCAAGTACATTATCGTACATGCGCGAGAAAACGCAGGAACGAGCTGCAGCGTCCCGAGGCCCCCCGACGCGACGCCGAAACTCGCGAAATTCGAACGGAATTTTTCGCCACGGCACCGTCGAGGCTCTGATTGCGTCTGTAGTAATACGTTGGCGGAAGCAGACAAAAATTCTTGTCCAAATGAAAGTAAACCGTGCTCTTTCCCGTTACTCGTTGAATAGAAATTGGAACCCTGAACCGAGGCACGTGTGTCTACGTGTATCTAACGAATATTTTTATAATTAGACACCTGTACGTTGATAGATGTATCTACACGTGATACATTTTGTACAAATTGGAACAAAGGTCGAAGGTCAAGTACTGGAAACTAATCACAAAGTTTCTAGAGGTTAATTATTTAATTAATCTTAATCTACTATTCCGATAAAACTATATTCGTCTATGATCTTCGGCCTTCGAATCTCGTCTCGCGTCGTGCACGCAAATTGCAAAGAAACGATCCATACTTGATCCGTGGTATCATTATACAGAACCGCTTCGACCGGGAGTAATGTTCAGAAAATTTCATAGTCATCGGTTCTTCCTTTCTTGGGAACCTCGGCAGCTTTTTACGTAAGATAGTATATCCGCCGTCTAAGAAAAACGGATCAAATTAACGGTTTCACGCGTACTATTCTCAACGAGAGCGTAACTTCCGGTTGGCGACATAACAAAATAAAAGCTAAACAACTGTTTATTCGTTATTCGCGAAATACAAACCAGAGATTACTCATCGGAATCTTCGACATCAGATCATACACACATTATTTTATAACGAAATTCTTTTGTGATAATTATTATAAAATTAACATGTATTTACGATAAGATGTTATCTACACGATTAAAGAAGCTCAATATCGTTCAAGTTAAAAATGTTCCGAAATCAATATTTACTATTAAATTTAAAAAAAATAAAATGGTTATGAATAGTTCGATAGATCAACACCAGGGGCCGCGGTTGTATGGTACTTTTGTTTGTGGTTCGAATACCATTTGGCCCGTGTTCCGTTTTGTGGTAAGCTTTCAAACGGACCGCTGCGAAATTGAAGCGCAGGCCGTTGCTCGTTTCGATACATCAGGGCAACGAATTTAACAGATTTCATTGCGGTCAGTTGTCAGGGAACAGTTCTCGGGATCGGTTGAGGCTGAAAAAGAAACGGTCTGAGTCATACGTAATGAAAGGGTAGCAGCTACTCCCCAGCGGCGCGTAGTCAAGAAGCCGCGGGGGACGGTAGGAAGCGCGCGTGAAGTAGAGGGCCCTGATTATCGTAGTCGTCCCTGGCTGTCGACACGAACAGCTCAGTTCATTTCGTTGGCGGAGGCGAACGGCGGTGCACAGCGCGACACAGCTGATTCCAGTACGGTGTGTTGCGTCGGCTGATCGTTTCTCTCCGAGCTGTCAGTCGCAGTTCGCAGCGCGGATCGGTTGGCCGCGTTCTCGCGATTTCATCTCTGTCGCGTGTGGTTGCCGTGTGCGTGTACGCGGGGCTCCGTGACACGCAGAAAACTGCGAAACAATCGCGTACGACATCCCTCGGGGACGAATGCAGCTTCGCAATTCGGAAAACACCTCATCGATCGTCGGGAAAACGAAGGCGAGGATTAAAAGCACATCGTAACGATATATGCGTTTTGTATGTATATATAGACGTGCATACATGTGTGTATATATACATACATCGGGGTCTATCGAACTTGTACTTTAGTACTGTGATTACCGTGCGATCACGATTATCTTGGAAACGGGGAGTGCAGTGCATGGTGGAGCGACCGAACAAGGGGCGGAGAAACAGAGGATGCACAGCGTCATCGTCAGGGCATGAGTTCGGACGTTGCTAGAATAGCGAAATCCACGTTCGACCGATGGTGAGTCCGATCCCCCTTTTCCCTGCACGCGTTATTTTCGCACGTTGCTTCCGCTGGATTTCCAAGTGACAGCTTATCCCGCACTCCTGCTCCGATAGTGGGGTTAAACGCCTTTCTTCTTTGTCCACCAGGACTAGAACTTGTCCACCGCTTTCCGTTGTTCGCTCGTCTAACCTTGTATCGGAACGCGGAGCGGTTGCAAGAGCCGCGGACGTACGATTGACAGGCACCTTCGTTCGAACGATTTCTAACTTCACGACGCTTAAATGCATGTGTCGGTTTGGATCGTTTTGTTTGCATATTACAGGATGACCCACTTATTTTTCACGGTCCCTCTCAATGTTCCTACCATTCCCGTCTCTGTAATTGAGATACACGCACGACGAACCACACCGCTACCGTAATTTTATTTACGATGACTCGAAGGAAAAGAGCACATCAATTTTGTGCATATATCGCGCGAATCATTGATTGCATTGTCCAACGTGCCGTTGTCGCGAATTTTCAAGTTACGGGAGAAAAATAATAGTTCTCGGGTTCGATTCTTGGCACGACACTCGGTGCTTCCAGTGGATAGAGTTACGTCCAACGTGACTCGTCGCAAAACTTTCCTATATTTTTAAGGCGGATATACCCTCGGTGCACGTGGACGGAAAATTATTCGGGAATTATGGCAAAATAAAGATTCGATGATACGGCGGAATAAGACAGCCTAGAGCTGGATCGATGCCCTAAAGAGCACGATTTATTGTCGCGATTCTGCACGCTACACGTGCTCCTTAACCTCATAGAGTCTAAATTTTTGTTTCTTTTTATTTTACGCAAGAAAATCAGAAGGAATAAATGAGTTCGTTTCAGAGTTCAATTTTATGGAATGTATCGTAGGTATACGACATTCGTTACTTCAACTAATTATTTTGTTTTGAAAAATAATCGATCAATCTACGTAAAGTTCAATGTACAAAAGGCATGGGGGAGGTTAAGAAATACAGTCGAATCGAACTAATATAAACCGCAATTCCGTGTCAACTTACGATTCAAGGGGGGGTACGAAAATAATATTTTCGTGTAGAAAAATGTGCATAATGTGCCATTTGAAAATGAGAAATAATATCTGTTTCGTGTTTTTAAAAATTACTCGATCATGATTGGAAAAGATATAAATTTTGTTGCTCTTGGTACAGATTGGTATGTAGATTAGTTGGTCTTATCGTACGTGATGATCATGAAAATAATTTGGCATTCTGTCCAGGTATTCCTGGTGGACTCGTCAGTAGGGCTGACCCAGTAATCCTTGCCTTAGAAGCGAGTAATCGCTTCGACAGCCTCCTGTTTCACAGATTTCAGAACAGACTGTCGTCGTAATCGCTATGATAAGAAATCTTGCACATTCGGTAATTCCCAATCACCATAAATTTTCCACGTTTCAATGAGTGTACTTTTCTTACGCCATTTTGAACTCTCCAGGAACGATATGCTTTGCACAAAGAAAATGAATGACATGACATCTATCACTGGGAAATTAAATCATAATCATCGTGTGGTAAATATCATTTATTTGTTAGTGACATTTTTGCTGACAGTTTTTCCTTAAAAGCTTCCTTTTGGTAGTCTTAAATTAAATAATTGTTCTTATTTTTAGAGTGCCTTTGAAACAGTTTGGAAACCGTTGCGTTAGAGAAATCGTGGATTCTATGGACGATCGTGGCCATTGACCCTTTGCGATCCAGACCGATTTAGGCGTGAGAGAATATCGTACCATAATGCGTCTACGAGTTTGTTGGCCGAGCGACAAAAATATCGTACGCGATCCTTGACCGTCCGCACGAGTGTTTGTGGCAATCGCGGACCGTTCGAACGTTACCGACGATAATAGCACGAAACTCATTACGGACGATCGTCCCGCCAGGTGAAAGCACGAAAACGCGCAGGTGTCTGTTTCGCGAAAACGTGCTATACGTGTCGCGTACAGCGATGATCGGTTCAATTTCTGTCACGTGTTCGCGTTTACCCATTTCATTCTCAGGTTACGACCAAGAAAAAAAACATAATTGCTTGTATACCGTTGCAGTTTAGATAAAATGTAAATATCGAAAATTGTTCCTCTTGCTTTTCGTCGGTTGATTATGTTGCATTTATTTATCGCAATACTATTAACGATTGATATGGTAATACATTCAACTTTGTCGCGAAGCCTTTGAATATATTCATAGATTTAAAAGTCTGACCCTCGTCCACGTTGGCTCTCTTCTGAATATCAATTAATATCAAACAAATATTAACGTTAACCAAGATCGATTGCGTGTTTTGAATTATATAAGTAGAGAAATCATCTTGTTGTTGGGCTTACTCGCATCTGTTCTGTTTCTTGTATTGTTTATTATTTGAACCTGTTCTGAAAAACTATTATTATTATAATGAATTGTAGACATCATGTATAAAGACTTGCGATTTTAAATAATTTATCTGTTCTCATAACTCTTCCAACGCTCGTGTTTTGTATCATATTTAGAATTAAAAAATGTATGCACATTGTCATTATTGTGCCGTGCATATCCTAAGTAACAATCATGTTTATATTTCGCGCCGCAGGGTCAATGCTAGTTTTGTTGTCTGAATTCACATATTGTAACCAGCTTCGCGATCCACACTGCCATAACACATGCCACGTGCTTGTTCGATCCCCACCATCTCATGGTTGCCTTCAAAGCGCTTCTTTGCATATTTCTTCGAAACATTACGACCGTTGATCATCACATGATTGGCTAACAATACTGCCCCAGTTGGGTAAATTTTATGTACGAATAATGAATAAAAATTTTTAGATAAATCAATACACAGAACATGTTTAAATAATAAATCAACGTCTTATCGGGTATTATAGAGTGATTTACTTGCAAATGTAACATTGTAAAAGGATGTTTAGTATTTAACATCACTGTGATTCGCGGAAGATCGCGTAGAAAGAACAAAGTTCGCTTGATCGATCGGACGAAATTATCATTGATCCCTGAATGATTGTTCATTGATATCAAAAGAATTCTAACATCCGTGCAACAATGTTCCTTATCATATCTTTCTATACTTTGTACTCGTAATCGAGTGGCACGGATAGCACTTGTGATTGAAATGTACAACAGCGCTCGAGTTACATTAATTCCGATTTTACTATCTGTCATTAAGAACAAATAAAATCTGGGAAACAGACGATTACAAGTGGAACGAACTTTGATGATCGCTTAAGAATACTTCCTAGGCCAAGTGAATCGAAAAACACGGAATTTTTATGAATTTTTCAACAAAAAAATCTGTGCAAAATACGGCCAAAGGAAAGCCTTTTCAAAGGCTTATGAAATACAAATAAATGTTGTAAAAATGAATCGTTTAATGTCAGAAAATTGAATGATGATGCTCTTGAATGACTTTATAAAAATTGTTTAAAAATAACAAAGCCATAACAACTTTATCACGCAGGTGTTGATTACAGTACGTATATCGAAACTGATCGTTGGAAAAATGTCTGGTAAAGGCAAGTGTTGAACCAATAACAAAAGCGTGTATTAGCCATCGTGTATTATTGTATGAAAAAAATTTATTTAAGCTAATAAGACCTGTGTCAATTACGGTGCAAAGTTTCGAGCTAATATCATAGAACAGTTTTCGATTTGAAAACTTTCAAAGACGTCTCCCCTCTTTCGTAGCCGGACTAGAATACCCCCTTTAACACAGAAGGTGTTCTTTCCTGGCGTTATGCCAATTTCCACTGTTACTGTTTTCGTTATCTTCAAAAGAGGATTAAAAGCCTTTAGACGGGAAATCTATGTAGACTTTGCATAATAGATCACGCGAAAGGTCTAACGTTCCCTCGAGATTCGAATATTTTACAGTACCAGTACAATCATTTACAATGCGTATCAATAAATTGTGATTCAACCAAGATCGATCAAGTGGTCCATCAGGTTTATTGGCAAGCTTTTCATTTTCGTGTCAATTTCATATCTCGTAGGCCCTCGAGAAGATAATTGTTATTTACTTGCCAGAACTAAACGATCGAACGATAAACGCTTAATATCGCTACTATTTTTACCGATTCAGATTCCTTTAATTATCCCATAATCCCATTTATCTCAATCGTCATCTAATATCGGTCTCAGAAATTTCGAGAATCTTTTTTACGATACTTGAGGTAGATTTATTCACCTCACGGGAACGTGACGGATAATGTTAGGACTTATCCTCCCGTTAATGCGCGGCAATAAAGCCTAAAAGGATAGAAAACGCAGCTCCGCGGGCAAAAAGGAGAAAGCTCTTTGTCCGCGGACTCGTTTTGACAGTTCCAGAGAACTTGCTTTTAAATGCACATGATTCATCGATGTCCTCAGGACTCTTTAAAAGCGTACGCGATGAAATTCCTGTCGCGCTTTGCCGCGGCCGCCTGACAAAATGTCTGACGCTTCATTCGTTTGTTTACAAGCAGGGGGGACTGTTCGAAATTTGCTTCTCGCGCGATGAAAAGGCCTTATCGATATCGACGGGAACGGGAGCCCTTCCTCGAAAACGTGACGCATCAGAATGCATTGGTTCGATAGTTGTTTTAGGAAGGACGCGAGGCAGACGGTCGTGAGCTGCGTGCCAACACGGTACATCGGCCAATAGTCGGTGTTATTTAGTACAGTCGTGTCAAACTTTGGCCAATTTGTACCTGGCTGCCATGTCGCGACAAATACGAAAATCGTCAATTTGTATTAACAACGACTTCACGTTTTGCGTGATATTTTTGGTGGAAACGGAATCACGTGGCCTTCGATCGCAACGATTAATAACGATAGAAGAAAGAGACCTGTGCTGGACGTTGAATCGGTATAACAAAGTTTCGTCCATCGGTGGAAGGCCTCTCGTTCTTTGTATTGCACGTTACCTGACGCACGTTCTCGCGTGACGCCTCGATTAACTTCTCGGTGACTGGTCGACGCGCGAGCAACAACATTTCTCTTTGTTTCCCGCGACAAAGAAAGATCTCGTCGAACGCGGTGACGTTCAATGGGGGCTACCTTGTTGTTTCAGCATCAGCAGATGATGGCAGATCTGAAGAATCTCACTCTGGGCGGCGGTGGAGGATCCAGGTACAGCGGCGATGAACAAGTTCAGTTCATACCAGGCGGAAGTCACCAGGTGACGATCAAGTCCCCTCCACCCACGCTACACTTGGAGAACCTCAACAATGCAATATTCAGGTAAATTACTCATATACCGATCGGACTATAAGAAACGATCGACCAAAGTTTTGTCCACGTTAGAAAAAAATAGAGTTTTGCTGTAAAGGAATGCGATAGCGTGGGTAAACGTTTCAAGAAAATTCCTTTGTCGAAGTTCAAGCCGACGAAGAATTGCAAAGGTTCGTTGCCGCGATACGTACATATTTACATAGCGACTCGTATCCCCAAAGAATACTACGAATTACAAGTAGCAAAGATATTTGAATTTCGAGCGACTTGGATTTGCATACGAGACCCGGGTATAAAGTCTACAAAAGAGGATAAGCCTGGACTACGGTTTATCTTCATCGATCGTTTCTTACGGAATTTCTCTCGTAGATTAAACGAAGCGTATGCATATGCCTTTTAAGCGATTGCATCTTTCTCTGACCCTGAAACATCGTCTAAATCGAGACAGTATTTTTTTTTTTCTAAGGTTCCATCGTGAACAAGGCAAGACACGAACAGTAGCCTCGTACGTTTGTACAATGATGCAGAACAGTATACAAAGCATTCAACAAGATGGACTGAATACGGTGATCTGGAAGTTTGCTTTTTCATTAGTTTGCTTCAATTCGGGTTTCAATGATACCTTTTCAAGCAGTTTGTAATAATAACTGTCCAGCCTGTTCCTCGCTAATAGATTTCGAATCAACGAAATTGCATCGAAAGCGACGAGCGGTGACAAAGGAGTCTCGTACCCTTAAAAGTAAACAAAGATTGAGTCAATTACCTAATTGCTTTACTCAGTATTTCGATGGCTCATGGCACGCATATTGTATGTCCACACTTTCAGCCACCCCTGGGAAAAATTTTAATAGAAGATTCTAGAGGCCAAAGTAAGACGAAAATCAAGAATATAGTTATTAAAAAATGAAATTAAAAAATTTCGAATCGTTCTGAAAAAATTATTTTTAGTTCCAGGGGTTAATTACAATCAATTATTGTGAATACACATACCTCCGAAATCCTATCCATTTTCGAGAAAAAAATTCAGGAAGCGCGGAAATTTTTCGGGGAAATTAAAAAATTTCGAATCGTTCTGAAAAAATTATTTTTAGTTCCAGGGGTTAATTACAATCAATTATTGTGAATACACATACCTCCGAAATCCTATCCATTTTCGAGAAAAAAATTCAGGAAGCGCGGAAATTTTTCGGCGAAATTAAAAAATTTCGAATCGTTCTGAAAAAATTATTTTTCGCTGCAGGGGTTAAATACAATCATTTTTGGTGAATACGCATACCCTCGAAATCCTACGCATTGTCGAGAAAAAAATTCGAGTAGGTGGAGAAATTTTTGGGCGAAATTAAAACAGTTCTGATCGTATAAATGTTGTATGTTTATCATTGTAGTGCGCCTGTACTATGGAATAAAGAATATTGTAAAGACTCTATGGCGTAGAACAGCGACCTTTTATATCTTTCAAACAATTATTACAATATATCGAAAGGGGGGTTTGCCAAGTCGATTGTTTTGAACTTTGATCTATGATTACGATGCTCTGTGACTAACTGCGAGCACGTTTAACTGGACGGTCACAAATAAGTAATGATATTCAGAATGAAATCATCGAATTCCAAGCAACTGTTCTGCATCCGTGACCTTTGCTTTCACGCCCTGAACTAAACTGCAATTCTATTCTATCGGATGGGTTTCATGGTACAAACAATGAATGAGATAGAGCGCGGTCATCGAGTCGACATCGAGCACGCGAAGTGGCTACGTATGTACATCCCAAATATGTCTAAAACGGAACTCAAGGTTCTCCCCATTGATCGCGGTAAAACTTAGGCTCCGTCGAAGAGCACTTTTCCTCGTTTCTTTCGTCGTGCACCGCTCCGCCGTTCATAGATACGAAATCGTTGAAAAGTTCTAAAGGAACTTCTTCCGCGATTTGCCATTTAATTCGTATCGCGTGGAATAAAATAGCATTCGCGTGGTGATTACATGTGTTTCATTTTGGAAACGAAAAATACGTTTGCAGTAGGAATTGATAAACAAACACGTAGAAACAAATGGATACTAGTCCTCCTTGAGTTGCTTCATGAATTTAAATTTATTTTTTATAAAATCTATAAAGTGCGTTAATTAATTCTGGTTTGAAAACATTGACGTCGATGTCAGATTTAATTGTGCGATAGGGCATTCTTAGATAATTAATTTGGCGAAATTTTAAGACTGATAAAAATGTGATCGACCGTTGTTGCGACTGTCGATATCGATTATTTCTCAATTTTACCGAAACCTTAAAACTAGGATTAAGTGTGAGATTAAATTACACATGACAAACCGCAATGTGCTCGTCTAGTATGGCTTCTATAACTAATTTTAACCCGATAGGAGACACGTGTGGCGAAAAATGAGCCACGATCGAACCCCTGTTATATTCCACAGCTCGAATTGGACGGATACATTTGCTGATTTTTCGTCAGCCTCGTCGGACAGAATATATTTTATTAACGTTGCTCGTTCTATGAATATTTGAATTCGTTGTACCGTGGCTCGCACCAACTTTTTACTGTTCCAACTCTGACTCATCCTTTCGTTTCGATCACACACAACATATCCTCCGTCTATAAATAATTCGCGTACATTGCGTCGTTGAACGCCTTTTCGCGATACTTTTACGCGCGATGAGAGATCTTTAGGCCTTTCCTTGTTGAGAAAAGGGACCATTAAACGTAGAATTTCAGCAGAAGCCTGGAACTCGGTAAAGTGGCGTTGGGCGAACCGTTCTTTATTAGTTTCACTTAAACGCGGAGTTCGCGGAAACGTGAGCCAACAATTATTTAACTGCACGAGTCGCATTGGTCTGCAATAATTTCCGAGCATGGAAACTGACTCACAATTTCTCGAAGCGTACGGGAAATTCTTTGTCAAAGACCAGGGAAAGAAACAGAGTTTTAAGACCAAAAACACGTTAATATTATCATTAAATAACACATTTACGATCGTTTTATGTCACAGTTATATCAACAGATTCTATGTTTTCTTCTTCAGTTCCTCCAGTGCATTTTTTGTTCCTACATTTACATTCCATTTACATTCTGATACTTGTTAATTGCAGACCAATAAAAACCAGTCTTTTTTAACGCAACAAACGTAGGAAAGAAATTCTAAAAAATAATACAAATCACGGCTGTTACGCGTTCGCGACTAGAATTAAAGCGTTACATAAATCACGTGATAAACAAGACGCGTGTCACATAAACTTACGTGATTAGTTAAACGCATGGTAACGAACGTGTTAATAAATTTTCGAATGATAAATGACGATTAAAAGCATAGCGTGGTTCTAAAGAAAACTACACCGGGTCGACGAACTTATAAATCCGAGTGTGATTGTTGCAGATAATATTTTATGCAATGAGACTCTCGTTTCGAGTCGTGTGCACGGACACGTTAATTCGAGTTTCGTTTAGCGTCGTAGAAAAGTTTGGACACCATCGTCGTGGAATAAGATTCTAAATCGCGTGTCGTGAAACGTTCCGTCTTGTGTTACAGTGACTCGCAGAACAATCTCCCCTGCAATTGCAACGGCAGCGCGACGAATGGCGCCGCGGTTGCGATGTGTAGCAGCAGCATGTTCGCGAGGAAGGTACCGAACCATAGTCCTGGCCAGGATGGTAAGAGGCCAGCAGTGACACTGACGCACCTCCCGAAGAGGCCACCGGTTGACATTGAGTTCAAGAACCTGGCATACAGCGTATCCGAAGGAAGAAAGAGAGGTTGATATCACAAGCCTTCCACATTCCAACAGAATCCCCTAAAACTCGAACCAAGTCACTACTATACGCTGAGATTTTGGTCTCGATTAGAAAGCTTGAGCAACTCGAAATTGGAGCAAAGAAAAATTGTCTGGAAATCCTTACGAACCGGAAGTGTCAGAGTTTAATAGGCGCTATGCGTCACGTTTGCACAGAATGCATCAATCGGAGAAAAACTGGACACAAATTGAGTCTTCTCGGATCAGTAAAACATAGGGAAAATTCTGTGATCTTAATCGTTATCGAGGAAGTAAAAATAAAAACAAATAATAATAGAAGGGTTAAGCGGGCCGTGAAATGGGTCGCGCGTTTGATATACCTGTTTTTAACCCTTTGTCCTGTGATATCGAGCTGGGCACGCGATCCATACTCGTATTAAAAACTAATTGGAAATAAAATTATATCTCCGATCGTACTTCTGTTTTAACATGTCAGAGATAGCCTTCGATTTCCATAGCCGCCATATTTCTTACTCCATATATAGTTTGTATTCAATAGCGCTTTGCTAGTCATCGTCACAGTTGCTCGACAGGTTGAAATTATTAAAATTTATTTTAAAGAATTCTCAGTTCGATTTATTAGTGGTAAAAGTCGTTTAAATGATACTGTGTTTTGTGTCTAATGTCATCGAAGATGATTCGAAGACGCATTCGGTAGGCATTTCGTCGAACAACGCGTGCGAACGACCTAGCTAAAAAGAATCAATAGGGACGCTCGTACAGATTCCTGTTGCGGTCTGGATGCACCTCAGAGGTGCAGCTGCACCCGGAGGATCCAGCTGCCCGTGAAACCGACGGTTTAACGTAATTTCTATGCCTTATCCGCGGGAACGCGGCGAACTTGCCAAGAGCCGCGGATTCTATTTTGGCAATGCGAAACGTTACGTAAATCGTGAAACTATAGATCGATAGAGAGCTAACGGAATCGAAGGAAAAAAAGTGGGCGACCTTAACCCTACAACCTGCGATTATTTATAACCGCTAACCGGTACACCCAGGAGAAATGATTTTTCCCCTGACGCAAAGAAATTACCTACCTTCGATTTACCTCTTATAGAAAATTATGAAACAATTATAAATGTATCATTTGTTCGCGTAATTTTACGTCGCAGGTTACAAGACGATATTGAAATGCGTGAACGGAAAATTCCGATCGGGAGAGCTGACCGCCATCATGGGTCCTTCCGGCGCCGGGAAGAGTACGCTCATGAACGTTCTGGCGGGTTACAAGTGAGTATCGTCCTCGACATTTGCGCCGATATACCGAATCAGAAACGTATTACGTGTAACGTCGCTCTCCTCGTTTCCAGAACGTCTCACCTGAGCGGCTCCGTGCTGATAAACGGCAAGGACAGGAACCTGAGGAGATTTCGGAAGATGTCCTGTTACATAATGCAGGACGATCGTCTGCTGCCCCATTTGACGGTGTACGAGGCGATGACGGTTTCGGCGAATCTGAAGCTCGGGAAGGACATCAGCGCGAGGGAGAAGAAAGTAGTGGTGCGTTGGTGAAATTCGATTTCCTCCTCTTAGAATGTTTACGAAAGTCGACGCTTTCTAACGTAAATCCGTGTACCGCGCAGATCGAAGAAATCATCGAAACACTTGGCCTAAGCGACGCGAGCAACACGCAATCACATTGCCTCAGCGGGGGCCAGAGGAAGAGGCTATCAATCGCGTTGGAGCTCGTGAACAATCCACCGGTGATGTTTTTCGACGAACCCACCTCCGGTTTGGACAGTTCGACCTGTTACCAGTGCTTAAGTTTGCTCAAATCGTTAAGCAGAGGAGGTAACTGTAACAGAGAATTGTTTATATAATAATCCTCTGTCAACGATGCTTCTGGATAGTTTGTAAATGCTTGTACCCTCGATTTATTTCAGGAAGAACGATCATATGTACGATACATCAACCGAGTGCTCGATTGTTCGAGATGTTCGACCACCTGTACCTTCTGGCCGAAGGGCAGTGCATGTACGAAGGTAACGTCGGAGGTCTGGTCCCCTTTTTGTCATCGATGGGTCTGGAGTGTCCTGGCTATCACAATCCAGCGGATTATGGTGCGTAGAGATTGCAACTAGAATTTCAATGATACCCCAAGGCCTCCATCGTCTCCTCCCAAGCTGACATTCAACATCAACGCGTACAATTTATCTATGCTAATGAGACTCGACTGATTCGTTTACTTTTCCGCTGATACAACTTACTTAAATCGGTTACAATGTAGCCTTGCTTCGAGAAATTCATGTAACGTTCGATCCATTTTACAAGGTGACTTCCCCGATGGGTGTGTCGATATTTAAACGAGCCCTTGTAAGCTGTATACATTGAGAAATACTGTAGAGATAAAGAGGAAGTCATTGACTAGTCCAGCGATTTGGTGTGTCAAACCAGTTTGTTCATAGCATTTTTGAGAAGAGGATGTCCACTACTTAAACAAAAAGTAAGATAGCATACGTTTTTGCACAGTGATGGAGGTGGCGTGTGGCGAACATGGCGAGTGTGTGCATAAATTGGTAATGGCCGTGAACAACGGCAAATGCGCCAATTATCAGCTAAACCAGGCTACGATCAACGCGGTGCAAACTGTATCGAACGACATAGCGAAGGAATCGCCGCAGCAGGAGACGAAATCCGAGACTGCCTTGATACCAAACGGGGTGGTGAAGCAGCCGAACGGCGGTACGGTGATCAACATGCCGATCTCTTGCACGACATCTTTGCTCGACAGCGCCGAGAGCATAGAGATGAAAGTCGGCTTTCCAACGAATAGCTGTACCCAATTTTGGATCCTCCTTAAGAGAATTTTCTTATCGCAAATAAGAGACATGGTTCGTGCATTTACGTTTACGAGAACCGAGACCCTTTTAACATGAACCATTCACCTGATCGAGCATTCTTTCGCTGTCGCAGACATTAACGAGAGTAAGGCTGATTTCGCACATAATCGTTGGGTTTCTCATTGGTGCGATTTATTACGACATCGGCAACGAGGCCTCGCAAGTGATGAGCAACGCCGGTTGCGTCTTCTTCACGGTGATGTTTCTCATGTTCACCGCTATGATGCCTACCATTCTCACGTGTAAGTAACGCCTGACGATCGTCGTGTTTATATCAATGTTAATAAATAATGTTTACCGATATGCAGTTCCAATGGAAATGGCCGTATTCGTGAGAGAACATTTAAATTATTGGTATTCCGTAAAAGCTTACTATCTTGCGAGAACCCTGGCTGATGTACCCTTTCAAGTAAATATAACGTTCATAATATCCAGTGGTTTTCAAAAGTTGCACCTTGCAAAAAAGAGTGGATAACTTAAATATTTTTTTATTAGAGCAGCGTCTTGAAGAAAGTTTGAGAATCACTGGCATACACTTTAAATGTACGCTCAATGTAATCTGTTAATCCTTCTTTTTTTTGCAGATAGTGTATTCTATAGCATACGTTGTCATAGTGTATTTCATGACGTCGCAACCATTGGAAACGAATAGGTTCATAATGTATTTAACTATATGTATATTGACAGCATTAGTTTCTCAATCCATCGGTTTAGTGATAGGTGCAGCGTTAAGTGTGGAGGTAATATTAACGTGCCGCGTACGATTTACGTATTCTCGATTAGAAATGTAACGTGTTTCTCGTTTCAGAGCGGAGTGTTCATTGGCCCAGTTTCGTCGGTGCCTATCGTTCTGTTCTCCGGTTTCTTCGTCAATTTCGATGCCATTCCAAAGTATCTGAAGTTTCTTTCGTACGTGAGCTACGTCAGGTACAGTTTCGAGGGCACCATGGTCTCAGTGTATGGTTATAATCGTGCTAAGCTCAAGTGTTCCGACGCCTACTGCCACTTCAAGAGCCCGACGAAGTTCCTCGAAGAGATGTCGATGCAAGACGGCGTCTTCTGGATGGACGCCGTCGCGCTCGCGGGTTTTCTGCTTATCTTGAGAGTGATCGCCTACTTTGTACTCAGACTAAAGTTACGATCTCTTCGTTAAAACGTGCAGTGACCGAAGGGTGATCAGTAATTGACACACGACGATGTCACGGGTGTCCGATGCACCTCGATCTCGGTCGAAGATCACGCGAACTGGTGTGTACGGTACCGTGTTCCGGCGAAAATGGTCTTCGCGACACTCACGATTACGATTCTCAGTTTCTTTCCTCATCGAGAATAGACGCGTACGTACGTAAATCGGAAGACTGCGTTCGGAACGTTTCATCAATGATGCAAATGCTTCGTAGCGTTAAAACGAGGCCCACATTCCCGATAATGCGTTCCGAGCGCGAAACCAGGAACGAAGTGTGTCATGGCCGGTAACGTCGCGTGGCGAGTAACGTCGAGAAGGCTGATTGAAAAAAAAAAGAATCGTACGCATAGAAACATTTAGGCATTTCTAATGAAACTAGACTACGCAGAAGTTAGAGTCAAGTTGTACATCCATCGTTGATAGATCGAGACGAGACCACCGTTGATAATACGCATCGAATCGATACGCAAACATTTATAGCCAATTACTACAAACTCGCCAGGAGCCTTAGGCCCGTTCAAGACTCATGGTCCCTCCAACGAGCGCGTGTGAATCGCGCGAACAAGATAGACTTTTTCAATAGATAAGCAATAGAATTTACGGATCGATGGTTAGAACGGATTCTTTATTGTTCTCGTGTTTACATCGTTCGCCACATTCACTTAGGCTATGGAAGATGGTGCCTCGTAGATATGCCAACGAATACACGTAAAGACGGATAATCGTTTATCTCGTTGGGGTACCAAAAACAAATTTCTGCGCCCGATACTTTTCTATGTATCGACGAGGCACTGTGTGTATAGTGTAATTTGTACTACGAAATGATTTATTACGTGATCGCGATCAATCCTTACCCATATCGTCATTCCATTAATAATTATAATTCGGTAACTATAACGTTTAAGCGGCAAAAAGGAAATGGTAAGCATGTATTGTAAAAAAAAGCTCACACCTGACCAATCACTAGCTGCCTGTGCGTTTGCTTTTAAGTGAGAGTACTGAACATTGTTACATTTATTACGATATAGTACGATTAATTACAGGGAGGGGGAGGAGAAGGCAAGGTGAAGGGAGCATACATATTACAACAAAAAAAAAAACAAAAAGACAAAAAATAGGCACGCGAGTCCGTACGTTAACGAATTTAATAAGATTATTCTGGTTTTGGAAACTTATACAGGAATTATTTTCACGGCCTATGCACCGCTTGTATCGCGTCGGGTTAATTTATTCAACGACTGATAAGACAAAAACCAATTATAATTCCGCTGATTCGTTTTCTTCGCATTTGGATCTCATATCGCTGTACAGCAATTTATCAAGAGTCGCGACACGGCCAAGTACAGAATAATCTTAACGTTATAGCCGATGAATATTGTTATCCTTGGTTCGACTTTCTAAACTGAAGTTCTCCATGGACAGAAATGATATTTGTTAAATAATAGTCATATAAATATTTTTATATTCCCAAATATTACATAGAAATTCTACGTATAATTTTTTCATCTAGGGTAAACGATCTTCGTCGATACGATCGTCTTCTTCGAAGTTTAAGTTGTGTTTAATTTATCGTACCGATAGGGATGGGTTGAAACTGTATTAAAATTTAAATTTCGATACGCGCTTGTTATATTCGAGGCGAATAGCTACGTAAAACAGCGACAGTACTTATCGCATACGTACTACTAATTAATGTAGGAATTAACAACACGAAACCTTCAGAATCGTACTCCTTTACTCGACTCGAGTCGTTCTCAATTTTGTCAGAACTTTAGTCCGCTTTTAATTTCCACCTTCGAGTCTAAAAATCGATCGAACACGGATAGCTAGGGACTGTAGACATTTTTACGACTATTACGCAAAGTAGAACGATTTTCGAATCGTCGAATGACGTACGCCGACGTAGCGTTTCCGTAATTAAAAAGGTTTGTACCCAGTGAACAATTCGCGCTTCGCGTGCAAATGGTAAATTAAGCTGTAAAAAACGTAATCGAAGAAATTATATCTTACGAATCGTAGGAAGCGGGATGAAAAAGAAGTTTCCATATTTTTAGACTCGCTATATATATATATATATATATGTATTATTATTATCGTTTGTACTTTTACTTAATATTCTTAACGTAAGTGAGCAGATTGACAAAATATCTAGGCAGGAAACAACGAGACACTGCATTAATACGTGCGAACATTTCGTTTCTTTTTCTATCTTTTTTTGTTATTATTACTATTTTAATTGTTGTTGAACAACCGGTAGTAAACATCGTATCATGATCGAGTAATCACTGTTGAAACTTGAACCGCGAGCTTGGAAATCGTACGATTTATTTTCACTTTGTTACAAATGCGTTTCAATGATGGTAACTTGGAATGTCTGTGATTTAGTATCAGCAAACGATCGTTTGGCGTACACGCAAAAGAATTCTGTAAAATGTACATAGAGAGGTGTAATGTATAGGAATCTACGAAAGCGGGATATAGAAACGGCGCAGTAAAATCGTTTAGGTACAACGAAAGTGTAACAGTTGTGCTTTTTTGTACCAAACAAAAAAAAAAAATAAGAAAAAAAACGAGAAAGTGTTCGTTGTTACGTTGAAACGCGTAGACATGTATATAACTGTTTAGATTTCGGCCCGCGTCTAGCACGTACCGAAAGTGAGATTTACAATGTACGGAATCGAATTAACAATTTACTTCTACTGTAACATAGCTGCTATACTAACCTTAACGATTGCGGATGCAAATCATGATACCGAGACGCAACGTGCACAGAGAGCCGAGATCTAAACCCGCGTTACGGTCGTTTACAACTAGATCACAATTGTCATTCGTTCGGGTGTTAGTTTTGCAGAGTCAGCCGATCGTTCCTTAGTTTTCGCGCGAGTTTAACCTTTGTAAATGCTGCGCTATCGTGTTCGTAGCCAGGAGTTTAACCGACGTACGGAAAACCAGCAACGTGTCAGACTTTATCAGCACACGTATCCGCGCGCATTGTGTTCAAAGCTCGCCAAGGGCTGAGACTGTACTAACGAACAAGCAAACTTTTAATTACACGCGACTTACTTGCGGGCAGGACCTTCGAACAAATAATGTCACACCACGTATGCATATAGATGCGCAGCATAGGAGAATTGATTCATAAAAATTTCCGCTTCTGGAAAACATACACGTACACACACACAGAGAGAAATACATACACGAAATCGTACCACATACACGTCGTTATACAATGCATATTATCCGACCATGCATCGCGTACAGTACATGACAATTTTTTCAAGTATTGTAATTTTATATGAACAAACGAGTATACGTGTGCGAGGCTGTGCGCATGTGTGTACGAACATCGGAGAGTGTACAAAAGGAAAAGTGCATGGAAAGGAATAAAAGCAATTACACACGCGAGACCGGGGGAATGGAGATCCTTGCGATACAAATTTTCGAGTACATAATGTTCCATGTTCTAAGCAAGGAATGTCACGTTTATACTAAAGCACAAATGAATAAACCATCTGTATAATGCGTACGACGATCGGCGTCATTCAATTAGCAATACATTCACCTTTAATAAAAACACGATCGGTGTGCCAGACTCAGCGCGATCAATGGCTACGTTTGCATTTGCAACGAAACGATTTAAATTTACAGCCAAAGAATTCGTCATACACACGTGGGATTTCAACGGCCAATCTAACGCCGGAGCGTCTATTTTAAGCTCGCTTTTGCCAATGCTGCCAAAGCAAAAGCTTCGTCGGCTTTTTAATTTCTTTCGTACCGGGGATTAGAATTTTACAAAGCACGTTCACGCGTCGCGACACGCCGTGGAAACGTTTCTCGCGTTATATTCGTTTACGGTATTATTTACGTACGATCGAACATGCGTGTGACTTTCGGCGTTCTTTGAAACGTGATTTCGAATACTGTTTAAAATAACGCAAGTTGGCAAGAATTCCAGTGCGGTCCATCGAATCTGTGAAAAGCACAGTAATCAGTTGGGTAATCGTGCAACGGTAATCGAGAGATCGAGAGAATCGTGAGATATGGAAAAGCCAATAGTACGCGCAAGGGTGGTAAAGGTTCTCGGTAGGACTGGTTCTCAGGGGCAATGTACGCAGGTCAAAGTGGAATTTCTGAACGAACAAAACAGGCAGCTGATTCGAAACGTGAAGGGTCCTGTGCGAGAAGGAGACATTCTGACCCTGTTAGAATCGGAAAGAGAAGCAAGGCGACTACGTTAATTCAAACGGGAAACGACCGTTCTCCCTAAACGAACAAAAGACAATTCGAACCTTTCCAGGTACACACGACCGTTATACAGATATTGGAAGCATTCGATAAAGGTGTGGAGCGAGCGTTGTTCCTAGAACTATATTTATAGCCGCGTGTTCGGTTAAAAATATATCGCGTTCGACGATGGGAATACAGAAAAATTTATTGACGATCGAATATTCATTTCCCAGGTCCTACGAGCAAAAATGACGATCCTTACCCAGAAATTGAAAGCAGCATTTGTTTTTATATACACGTGTTTTTTAACGAAACATAAACTCACATATATGTCAATGACGCCAACAGTTACGATAACATGTCTGGCCGCTACATAAATGTAATTAAAAACTATTTTCAAATAAAACTTAGTGCCTAAAAATTTGTGGAATGGTCCGCGTAATTTTTTCGTTATTTACCTGAGAACATTTTATAAACTTTACTTTGTTTATTTAATTGAAATACACGTACCAATAATTGGCTAGTTTGAGAAATTTATATTATTTCAAGTTGTTTGCATATAACGAGTAGATTGTATTGTTCTTTATCAAACAAATTGTTTGTATTTCTTAGTGTATTATTTTATCATTTACTCCAATACATACAAATTTCAATGCCCAAAACATAGTAATAACTTTCATAGCCTATTGATAAAAATATTGAAAGTATTGATAAATAAATCATCAGAGATTTTGGAAATATAATATTATCTAAAAGAATGTTTAACAGATTGACAAAGAGAAGATTCTAAGAAGGTTCTGGAAACAAAGAAATACGTTACAGAAAATGAATCCTTCCTTTCCTGCCTGGGCGAGTCCCTACCAACGGTTTTCGCCTTTGTCGATGTACGACCAATCAGCAGACGTAATTTTGATTGAGCGAGAACGCAATAGTTTTTTATGTACACTGATTTAACAGAATAAGTAAATGATTTTATGCAATCAGCAGTAAGAGAATAAATTAAGAAATTTAATGTGCATAATTTTGATACTGTTTCATAGGAATTAACATTATAAAACGACAAAATGCGAAATACGTGACGAAAACGGTGAGTAAAGATGGCAGCACTTTCGCTAAACGACAGCGGATCGTTGCACGAGCGTCGCCCGGATTTCAGTCGAGCTTGGTCGTCCCTAGGGTTCGGGTGGTGTTAGCTTTGCTCTTCAAATTATATAAGGGGACTCAAGAATGGTTTTTTCTTAACTGCAATAGTTATTTCGACCAAGCTGGCTACCAGTATACGTTTCGTACTAAAATGGTGTATTTGATTTTCGCGTCGCGAGTGTATTCGGTTCATCGTACATTCTGGAAGACCGTCGTCCCCTTTCCCAGCTTTTCTTCCCCTCTGTCTACATTTGGGTAAGGTGAAAATTGTTAATTCGGAGCCGTAACGTTGAACGAAAATGGCCGCCATCTTTTACGTATCAGGGCGTCGACTGGCGTCCATTTTCTAGACGATACGTAACCAAGAAGTATACGATTTCCGTGCCGCGTCTACAAATAATCGTTCTTCAAGATATTTCGTGACGTGCACCGCCTTTACTCGAACCGATTTACGCGACGAATAGACAGATTTCTTTCTTCGTTCCCTTTTCGGCCCGTGTCGTGGTGGGGATCGTACGCGTAATATCGGTAACCCATTAGGGATTTCCGCGATTGCCATTGGAACGGAAGCAATATCGATATTTTGTCCTTCGTAGGTGCGATTGTACATATATTTTTTGCTTCTTCTTCATAGGCAAAGTTCGCACGTAAATTGGATAAATACAGACGTATGTATTTATTCCATTTGCAATTACACCTTTTCCTCGGTCCTCGTGACGACGTGTCGTCCATTATGGAAAATGTGACCGAATAGCACAACTCCATACGTGGATAATCTATCCATTATTGTAGTTTCGTATCGATTCCGTTAGCTTTCTTCAAATTTTGAGACAGCTATTCTGCATCATGGCGGCGAAACGTGTACTAAATCTTCCCCCTTTATCACAACCCAACGAAGGAGCAACCAATGGTGTTAGGGTTTTCAAAAGAACTGCCTGATGAATTTCGTTGTTAGGATTTTCAGACGAAGTGCCTGATGGATTTCGTTGTTAGGGCTGTTGTTGTAGGGACAATCCACCACATGAAAGTCGGTCGAATATGGAGATAAATGTACGCACATGTTTCGGTAGTATGCCTAATAAGACGCCGCAGGACGCTTATTTATCAGTTAGGATGTATAGATTAAGACATTTAGCTAGGATGTCTAGATTAAGATTTTTAGAATAAGATGTTTAGAAATGACAAAAGAGGTTAGGGGGATGGTTATCACCTCTACCTCTTTTTCGGGTAGGTACAGAAATGAATCGTTTATTCCAGTTGGAATCGAGGATTCGAAAGCCACGATGATACATACCGTGGCATTTGTTTTACAAAGGAAGGGCGGATGGGACACGTTTGGAGATAGGGCGAGTCACCATTTGCAGCAACCTCCTCGTGGTGTGACTTGGGAAATTCGTATTACTCTTGTAATACAAATTTGCTAATGGCTGCATAAAAATTTCTTGATATATTTCATTTTACGAAATGACGGCCATGGTCATATTTAATTTAGTAAATTTCTATTGGTGAAAAGAAATCTATTGCTAATAAATGTACAATTATGTTTGTACACTAATTTTTAATTCTGCTGTGTTTATTACGCAGAATATCGGTTACTATTACATATATGTTTGTTATAATCTATTTTACTTTTCAGATTTATTGAAAATAAAAGACGCTCTACCAATTTTCTCGTGTCCATTCTATAACACCCATATCAAACAGTTTATCCTTAAAACTAATAAAGAAACATTATCATTCATAATTTCTGATTGTTCAAACTACGTGTAATCTTCTTTGATCCTCTCCATAATGTGTGTTGTAGAATAATGTTAGCTTTAAAGATACTTTTTGGAAAAATAGGAATTAAAAATCATTAACACGTTGGTTAGCTGTTTTCGTGCATAGAAATTGTTTCAATTTTTGCTGAAATTTTATTAAGAATGATAGAAATATTTATATGTTCAATAATTTATTTCATAATATTCCCAATGTCGGTAACTGTGTTCAGAATTTTATATATAATAGGGTTTTCTTGTTGCAAGTATTTTAGAAAAAACAGCTGTAGGTTCGAAATGCCACTTGCTAGGGATTTCAAATATTTTTATTCGCTCTAGATTAGTTCATAAATTTTGATACACATTGTCGTTCAGGATTTCACAGCAGATTTCCTTCGTATATATTTTTACATGTTGAACAATTTTCTGTTACGTGTTATATTAGTATTTTATTATAATTTGTTCTGCAAGATGCTTAGTCTTCCATTGTTAAATAAAGTATTCTTCGATATAATCTTTGACGCGTAAAGATGTACAATTAAATAATTTAAATTTGCCAAGATATTCTTCCTATATTACACATATGCTTAATAATAATCAAGGACTACATATTAGGACATTACTTGCTTTGGTTAGTAACTGGTACATTTATTTTCTCCGTCAATGTCGTTACATTTTTTGTTGCTATTACGCCTTAGTACAAGCGAAATTTGATCCTTCTGAGAAGTCTCTGGAAACGAAGGAATATTTCCCCCCTTTCAAAAAAAACGACATCTCGCTATCCTGTCTGAACAAGTTTCTACCGGAGGATGTCGCCTTCGTCGATGCACAACCAATCAGAAGATGTAATTTTGTTTGAACGAGGAGTCAACAGTTTGTTTCGTTCTTTGATTTAACAAAATAAGTAAATAATTTTATGCAATCAGTAGTAAAAGAATAAATTAAAACATTTAATGTGCATAGTTTTAATTCTGGTTCATAGGAATTAATATTATAAAACAACAAAATTTGAAATATGTACGTGATGAAGATGCTGACTAATGATGGCAGCACTTTCGCGGAACAGCGGATCGTTGCACGAGCGTCGCCCGGGTTTCAGTCGAGCTTGGTCGTCCCTAGGGTACGGGTGGTGTTAGCTTTGCTCTTCGAATTTTATAAGGGGAATCAAGAATGCTTTTTTCTTAGCTGCAGTAATTATTTCGACCAAGATGGCTCCGTGTATACGTTTCGTACTAAATGGTGTATTTAATTTTCGCGTCGCGAGTGCATTCGGTTCATCGTACATTTTGGAAGACCGTCGTCCCCTTTCCCAGCTTATCTTCCTCTCTGTGTACAATTGGGTAAGGTGAAAATTGTAAGTTTCTAGCCGTAACGTCGAACGAAAATGGCCGCCATCTTCTACGTTTCAGAGCGTTGTTTTGAAACGTGACTATTGGCGCCCATTTTCTAGACGATACGTAGCTAAAAAGTATACGATTTCCGTGCCGCGTCTACAAATAATCGTTCTTCAAGATATTTTCGTGACGTGCACCGCTTTTACTCGAAACGATTTACGCGACGATTAGACAGATTTCTTTCTGTGTTTCCTTCACGGCCCATGTCGTAATACGATTGGCAGGGATCGTACGCGTAATATCGGTAACCTATTAGGGATTTCCGCGATTGCCATTGGAACGGAAGCAATATCGATATTTTGTCCTTCGTAGGTGCGATTGTACATATATTTTTTGCTTCTTCTTCATAGGCAAAATTCGCACGTAAATTGGATAAATACAGACGTATGTATTTATTCCATTTGCAATTACACCTTTTCCTCGGTCCTCGTGACGACGTGTCGTCCATTATGGAAAATGTGACCGAATAGCACAACTCCATACGTGGATAATCTATCCATTATTGTAGTTTCGTATCGATTCCGTTAGCTTTCTTCAAATTTTGAGACAGCTATTCTGCATCATGGCGGCGAAACGTGTACTAAATCTTCCCCCTTTATCACAACCCAACGAAGGAGCAACCAATGGTGTTAGGGTTTTCAAAAGAACTGCCTGATGAATTTCGTTGTTAGGATTTTCAGACGAAGTGCCTGATGGATTTCGTTGTTAGGGCTGTTGTTGTAGGGACAATCCACCACATGAAAGTCGGTCGAATATGGAGATAAATGTACGCACATGTTTCGGTAGTATGCCTAATAAGACGCCGCAGGACGCTTATTTATCAGTTAGGATGTATAGATTAAGACATTTAGCTAGGATGTGTAGATTAAGATTTTTAGAATAAGATGTTTAGGTTAAGATGTTTAGAAATGACAAAAGAGTTTAGGGGGTTGGTTATCACCTCTACCTCTTTTTCGGGTAGGTACAGAAATGAATCGTTTATTCCAGTTGGAATAGAGGATTCGAGAGCCACGATGATGCATACCGTGGCATTTGCTATGCAAAGGAAGGGTGGATGGGGCGAGTCACCACTTGCAGCAACCTCCTCGTGGTGTGACTTGGGAAATTTGTATTAC